CACATCTAGATGTGGGGGAGCAGGTTAAAACTGAGTGGCATTGAAATCCGAACATTAACAACATCCTTGTTCATTATAACTCGGCACACTCTGAGATGGTGGAGCGACCTGTCGAGCAGTATGGTCAACACTGCGAGCAGGGTCTCTTCAAATGTTAGACTGAGAAATGAACCCAAGCATCTCGATTACAATTGCTCGTGCCGTATCTCGTACTCATGTTCCGAATTTACGGAGGAGCGAGTGATTGCATGAAGCCGAGAGCTATCTACTCAATGAGTCACTTCGCATGCAATTGTAGGTATGCAAGAGAGCGGATAAAGAGCATTTGGATGGTCTGCGAAGATCACCAATCCAAACTCCATTTGGGGAGTCATCTGGTTCAATGTCACGAGGATGTCCAGTTCCAGGTTACTTCACTCATACAATTGCTTGATGAGAGAGGAGCCTGAGGGAGGCTTTTCAGACATTTTCTTTTGCACTTCTCCTCACTGCCGATTCCTTTGACATCATTTCTTCTATACTTCAGCACCACCAAATATGCTTCATATCGCGAACCGTGCCTTTTCAGTTATGGCACGAAAACAGCCAAGAAAATCACTTTTGTTCACTTGCCAGATTTTCCTTCAGATGAGGACGTGGGCAGCAAATGAACTGGAAGTGGAGCAATTGTTTATTCGGGCATTTAGCGCTCGAACGTCTGTCGAAATAAATAGAATTCGCGTCAAAAGCAGACAAAACGTCAGCTTTCGAAATCGCCACCCGATCAGATCCTGGGCAGTGCAAAGCCCTCCTCCACACCTGCTTGCTCCTCCAATGTTCTGGTGTCGGCTTCATCATCTGTAATCGTACACATTGCAATTCACCATTCAAGGAATCTTCAAGTAAATGATTAACTAACGGCTTCTTTACAGTATGCTTAACCGTCTCTGTGCCTCTCCATTGTCCAAAACTACCAGAACTCCCAACATTCAGGCTGGTAAAGGCAGAAGAGGTAAAATTTCAGAAGTTTCGAAATACTTCCGACTTTTAAGGGGGACGATTTTGTCGAAACTTCGATACGATAAAAATTCACTGTTCCTGTTTGGCACAAAAAGACAATACTGATTAGCACATATGAAGACGAATGCCCAGGTCTCAAGAAAGGTCAACAAGAAGATAACTCGCATGAATTTTACTCCATTGAAAAGGTTTATTTTTACACGTAGATACAAAGTATTTCCTGAATTACAATTGATGTGGATGTCTGTCTTTCATTGTTTGTGGGCGTGTTTCCTCCTCACCATTGAGGCGTGCTTTCTCTTTGAAGCACGTCGCTTGTACGATATACCGTAGCTTTCGGCTATGAAAATTGTGATAAAGAATAATAAAAGAGCGGAAACTGAATGAGCACAGTTCGGCTACGGGGTGAGGGCACGAACATTGAACATTCCTCTTAAATCATGTGAAGTTACAACAAGTCAGGTGAGCGCTATACACGCATTGCTCTTCCACCCTTCGAGATTCAGGTCACTTTCAAAAAAAACCACCTAGGGTAGACACGCCCGAATAACGATCTCTTGGGGTCTTCTGAACACCTGAACGCGAAACCGTTCAGAGCGAAGATGCCTTTCACCAACTCTACAGGCGTCGCTGCCACAAGCCATTTTGGCGCTTGCGCACATAGCGCAGGTACCGGTTGCTTTAAGACAAAATGTACACTCACCTTGGTGGATACTGATCCTTGCATTAGTTCAGCTTGAATGGATCAGCGACAGACCACGCATGCCACTTTCTTCGCTCATATTGCGCGGGAAGGAAGCTGTGTTTCGCTGCGGGACCTCGGTATCGACGCGTTGCTGCACTCTGAGTATGAGCAAGTGGGATACTATTGCGCTGCGCCCATCCACCTCGCACGTAAAAGCGACCGCCCTCGGAGACCGTACAGTTTCCTTTTTAGCGCCAGACGAATGTGATATTTATAGCCCCGCAGAACTGAAAGAAGCAAAGAAATCCCGTGGAAAAAGTTCATATCACGCTAAGTGCAAAGTGATGTTTTAGTGGCAATGCCTGTAGCGCTGATACTAGATTCTCTCGAGCCGAGAGCATGTGATATTCTTGTTCTAGGCGAAATCACCCACGGAAATAATCGTTCAGTGAAACCTGCTCCCGGGAAAATTTTCGACCAAAATCTGATCCTTACTGTAGAAGAGTCGGGCAGGAAAAGAAAGAAATTAGCTGGGGGAATCTCTATTTCTCTCGCACACTCTTCTTCTCATCCCTTCACAAATGGTCTGTGACAACTCGTGTCGGTCTCAGTTTTCCCACGACTTCCCAGACTCCATAAAATGCTCCCTACCACGTAGCCGAATAGCGCCACACATTGTTTGGTCAAGAAAGGAAAATACTCACATGATGGCGGACCAGCTGGTGCTGGTAGAGGAGCAGCTGGCGGTGGTCCAACTGCATATCCACCGCCGTTGTAGCTACCACCGTTACTTGGTCCTGCTCCATAGGTGCCTCCATTGTTGTAACCACCGCCGTTACTTCCTCCTACGCCATTGGTGACTGCATTGTTGTAGCTACCACCGTTACTTAGTCCTGCCTCCATTGGTACCTCCATAGCTACCACCATTACTTAGTCCTGCTCCATTGGTACCTCCATAGCTACCACCATTACTTAGTCCTGCTCCATAGGTACCTCCATTGTTGTAGCTACCACCGTTACTTAGTTCTCCGCCATTGGTACCTCCATTGTTGTAAGTGCTCGGTGCACCATATGTCTGAGGTTGTTGATACGTTGCCGCTATAAATACTCGTTAAAAGTCGTTTGACCCCAGAAGAGGTCCTTTACATCAAGTGAGCAATGGAATGGAACTCACCTGGTGGAGGTGGTGGTGGAGGAGAGTAGTGGAGTGTTCTCGCACGGGGTGCCGCCTATAACGGATGGAGGAACTCTGGGCTCTGGGTTTAGTCGCGCTGTATTGCATGTCTTCAATGGATGGGCGGCAAACAACGAAAGCAATCTATTTATTGAATAAAGAATAAGGTAGAAGTCACTGGGGCAGGTGGTGGTGGCGGTGGTGGAGCTGGAGCTGGTACAGGCTGGCTATACGTCTGAGGTTTCTGATATTCTCCAGCTCCAAAGGGCTCAGTAAATGTTTAAGAATAACGTTTTCTGCACTGGTCGAACTATTCTGGGGCGCCATACTTATTTGGGTCATTTCCGGAATCACAGCGGCTTTTTCAGCGCACTTCGGCCTGCAATGTGACAGACGATTCATCCCAGAGGGGAAGGTACCGACCTGAAACTCGACCTACGGACCAGACAGTAAGCAGGGTCTTTTCCGCTGCACCACCTCACTCCAGAGTTTGCAGATAAAGCTAAAGGACGATTATTCTGCCATTGACTGATCCCTTTCTTGGGATGCGACTCGCATTCTACCCACATTCAGAGTCGTGTGCCAGACCAGGAGTTGATCCTCGAACCTGAAGCGCGGTGAACGTGCCACTTGCCACCACAAATTCCACAGAAAAGGGAAAATCTGTTAAAACTTTACATATGGTGAATAATGAAATGTAACTCACGTGGCGGTGGTGCAGCTACAGCATATGTACCACCACCATATCCATTTTCGCTGCCATAGCTACCACCGTTTCCTCCTCCATTGCAGCCTTTTGTACCGCCATTGTAGATGCCTCCAGCAGATGCATACTGGCTGTTTTAACAAGTCGTTAAACTAACCATAAGTTCCGGCTATGACAAAAATGAATAGAAGAGGCCTACCAGTAAGCTGTGAAGGCTATCGTCACTAACCAAACACTTTTCATGGCGAAGGAATGTTCTGTTGCACCCACCCAGTCCTTCTGCTTTTATAGTCTCGCCCTTGGGTGAGGTCATTTGCAAACAATCAAGTTTTGGACGACCCGTCTGGTAATGTACAACATGGACGCCGTGGGTGTTAGTCAACCTCCGCGCAAACTGTTTGTCACCCTAGCACACTTTCCGTGACAAAGGTTGTTCTGCCAATTAGTTCGTGTAATTCATTGGTGCAGGAGGGAAATAGGTGGTGGTGCAGTGCTTAGGCTGGACTTTACTTCCTCCCTAGCCATAACCTTTCACTAGGCTAGTACGCCCCTGCACTCTAATGCTGCTCAAGATCGAATCCAGACAGTATTTCTGGACTGCAGACGCCAGTGCATTCCAGAGGACTCGGTTCATTCACGCTTATGATGACTGAGGACGCGGTTCGGCTTTGGGAGGGACGTTTTGCACTTTCGCTAGTTTCCTTTTGTTACTTCCTCTTAACTTGCCCGTCCTACCATGGTAAACTTGTAGAATATTGTCAAGCTGATGTCAAGCGTTCTTGCAGTTTGGCGTGATTGATTCAAAGGTCTTCAACTAGCAAAATGCCCCACCAAGCCGAACTGCGCCTGGACTAGTATGCGATTTGACGGGGGAAGGGATGCAGGGGATAATTCCACATCTTCTTCTTCTCTTCTTCTTCTTCATGCGGAACATGTAGTTCATAGCTACGTGTTCCACAGGAACCTCGAGCCAAGTCCTTGTCAAGGTTCTGCTTTGCATGCTGTTTGAGCCTGCGATGGCATATTTATGACCAAGCCACGACTCACACATTTTCAACCCAACATTTCCATGAATAACAGGTGGATCAGTCACGCCAGGGTCCCTCTCTTGGAACAGCTCATACCCAGACTCGCCATATGTTTCTCGTGCCCTAGCCTACCGTGCGACCTGTTTAAGTTACACAGTTCGCTACAGAACCAGAAGTAGTCATGAACTGGACCGCGGCCGGGTGAAACTGCGCTACCAGTTCCACCCTCTTCTGTCAGAAAGACTAGTCTGAACTCTGTACTATTTTGCTTGTATTAGATTGGCGTGGAAGTTTTGCCACATTTTCAAAATAGCCTTTCTTTTTATAGGCTGGCGCGTGATCAAAATTGTACAGCAATGTCACGTGAAGTCTCCTGCACAGTCTTTTCAAGCACCTCATGGATGCCATCGCTTCACAATGCAGAGAGGCGCGACGCAAAGTTGGACATCATCTCAATCTTGACTTGAACTCAGGTTATCAAGGTTTTCTCGTCCACATAACGATTGAGTACGGGAGGCAACTAGCAGTTAGAAGGAGCAATGTCTGTGCTACACCAGTGCAAGGGGAGAGCCATCCAGCTCTGCACGGAGTAGGGCTCGGACTTTTTTGGATGGAGTGCGATGCACGTATTATTATGAGGGCGGGCTGTGCGACAAATTCCCCCCCTCATGATCGACGGTCCGCCTTTAGATCTCGTAGCGTACTTTGCGTAGCACTGAACGAGGAATCAGCTTCCTAATCCAGCAGTTGCACGACCCGCAGCTCCCTCAATCTGAGTTCACAGGTAACCCAAACCTCACGTCGATCAAAACTGTGGCATCGCCTTTGAGCATTAGGGTCGGGAAGGTTGTCCAATAATTGAGAACATCGTTCCTATGCGGCTCCATTATTTTGGCATCGGCAGCTGTCATGCTGGCGTCGGGGTCAAGGAGGACACGAGGAAGTTTGAGGAAGCGCTTGGAGGGGTCGGTGCCGATGGTAGCGGATAAAATCCTTGTCCATATTACAGAAGAAGGAAGAAGCAGGAGTCAAGCGAGTGGTACTAATAGAAAGACCACTCCTTGATGTATAAGTGCTCACATTACCGGTTACCCTATCAAAGTAATGGGCATGTATTTT